AAACAGCACAAGAGGCTTTCCCACAATTTAGCAAACGATTCACTGTTAATGTTCTTTTCCATGTGAAAGAAGTGGTTTGAATTATAGTACACCAGAGAAAAGGCAGCAGAGGTAGAGACTCAAAGAAGAGAGAAAGGGAGGGGATGGAGGGACTTTTATCCTGGATCTGCTTCACTCATGGAGGGCTCTCTGGCTGATCAATGACCCAACAGAACTGACCAAGTCAAATGTCGCAATTCATGTTACATGAGTTGAAGACTTTCAAAATGCTGGTAAGGAAACATTGATGCTAATGAAGCAACTAGTTAGAGGCATGCAGGGGTGTGGCGGTGGTCACTACACCTCCCTGAGACAGGAGGGGGGACCTTCAAGGCGTCTAAAAACGCTCTGCTTCTAAAAGTAGACTTTTTTGACATAGAGAAGCCCACTGAAATCACAAACAGACAGAGTAATAGCAAAATAACAGTGAGGGAGGATCTCAGAGATATGCACATCTAGAAAACCACATTAAATTCTGCAATACATGAATAGACTACAGAAGAGACAAAGAAAAAGAAAAACATCTCCAGGAAATAGTGCAAGCTAAACAAGATTTCAGTTAAACACAAGTTAAGGTGAAAAAAAAAAAATCTAAGACTCTGCTTTAGTAATACCAAGCTACTGAGTGGGTGGAATATCTACAAGCCCCCAAATGTTAATGCTTGCATTAGAATATCTGGATTAATAAAGGATGGGTAAAACCAGGCTGATAACTGGTGATTTTTCTGCCCATAATTAAGAGAGGGGAAACAGAGAAATAATTCTACTTTTAACAGAACTCTGTTAACTGCAAAATCAAAGCAGAACATGATTCACAGAGACCAAAACGGCATGGGCTGTGTAATAATTTTTCCGTATTTTTGGTAATTTTTATTAAAAATTATAAATTAAAAACACCCCCCACATACAAATTTTCCTTCCAGATCCTTGTATTTTAACCATGTCAGTGCACAGCAACAGCATCTTGACACCAGCAAGCCCAAAGAGACTTCAAAGATAGTAAGAAGCAATAAGGGACGTCTAACAGACTTAGAACATCAAAAGGGAATAAAGCAACCAAAAAAACAAATCAGTGCAGTAGATTGGAAGCTAGTGGATAAGGACAGGGAGGAGACACCATGACACACAAGGGTCTTTCAGTTGTTTAAAACACTTACCAAGAAAATCTAATGTTCTCAGAATAGCTGCCAAAGTTTAAATGGGCATGTTGCCCTACTGCAAATTATAACTATCACCAGCCAGTTACTCAAGAAGCAGCCAATAAGGGCAAATAATTATGAAAGGCTAAGTAAAGTAAGGATTGAAAGAGAGATAATGCCTTGCAGTATTACCGAAGAAGATTTGAGGTGAAAGCTCTTAAAACATTCACAAAGACTCTGAACATTGTCCCTTTCATGAACCGCTGCTATCCAGAGCAGGGACTTGGAAGCTGATGAAGTTAACTAATCAGTGATTAAGGCAGGCAGACCCAGTTTGTCTTTTTTTCCCATTTGCCAGTGGATACTAAGCTACAGACTTTGAATTCCAGTGAAGGATACTGAAATATTTGCAATCCTTACAATAGTACTGAGAGAGCAGTGCAGAGGACATCACCTGAAAGTAGCAAACAACTGGAGCACCATGAACACACACAACACTGGGAAGAGGAGGAGAATCTGCCTATTCTCCATCATTTTGACTAAGAACAGAACAGAAAAGAAGAATTGACAGAAGGGATGAGCAGGGCTGGCCAGGGCAGCCATCTCCTCTGCTGGAGGCATACAGCAAAGAGATGCCTGCTTCCGTTAAAGGACACAGGCGAGGGATGCAGTCACTAATCAGATCGATTCAATTCCCGCTGGCCTCATGGCCAAGGCTGAGCTATCCGACTTTCTTGTTACAGTCATGGAGAGTGTGGTAGAACTACTCAAGAAAGAGCAATAGATCTGAACACAGGAACTCCAAAGAAGTTCATGACAAAATTCAAAGCTGTTGAATCTGTGCCAACGCATCCATCCAGCACGTGTCTGTAAGGTTACTGAGACAATTGCATCCCTACCCGCAGTCAAAACGGGCATGACTTATGTCCTGTACAGTTCTCTTGAACCTGAAAATATAGTCAGGAAAGATCATAGCATTGAAATGTTCAGCCTGCCATCACTTTTCCCTGAAGCTTGGGACTAAATGACCTTTTCACCATGACCTGGGTGCTAGCCTTTTATCTGTGACAGGCCCTGCGCTCCAAAACGAAACACTGCTCATCTGCTCTGTCCTGCTCAGACCAACACCAACCACCCTCTTTCACCTAAATCTTCAAGTCTCTTGCTCAACAGAGCTAAATTCAAACAGATTCATAATGCCATCTCAGGGAGTTTCAGGCAAGACTCCAAGTCCTGTCAGGATGAAGCTATACCTGCCGAAAGGTTTTGCATTAGACATCAAATAAAAAAAGCATGAACTGAGCTAAAATGTTTCAAGTGACATTCTTTCCAGAAACAGCCCTTCTTCCTATAAATACAGAATGAAGCTTTCCTGGGATTTATCTCTGTTTCATCCTACAAAAGTCTGGATTAAAATCTAGCAGTTTAAAAAGCTAGTTTCCTCTTTAACAATTGTTTTAGTTCCTCTTACATGAACCACATGAAAGGGAACTCAGAATTCCCAGCCTATTCAATGCTGCCTCCTGCTGTCATGGTGCTGAGGTTGCAGCTTGCTTCTACAGAAAGCTCAGCCCGTCATTGCGAGTGGATATAAGCTGGTTTTGAGATTCTCAACGCAGTGTACGATACTTAGCTACCTGAATTCCATTGAAATTACTGCCATAGAAGAAACTAAATCCGGTGCACTGCAAGGAAAGAATCTATCTCATTTTCAGCTGGCCTAGGAAAAGTTTGAAGTTAGGGTTTTACTTTCAGCTTGGAGTTACTAATGTGAATTTAGATATAGCACCCAGATAGTTGTAGTTTTCCTGCATGTGAAGCAAACACACTCTTAATAACAGATGAGCAATGAAAATAAGGCCAACAACCTATTTTGTCTTATTTCCAACAACCATCTTTCCTCTGCATTTTAAGTGTTATTATGGAAAAACCCCAAAGCAAGTAACCCTTCGGAATTTAATTAAATTTAAAATGTGAAAGCATCAGGCAGACAGACCCTTTAGAGAATAAGCTTTGCAGGCAACAAGGTGTATAACCTTTTGTTCAGCAAGGTGCACTTACGGTATTGGACACAACCACACTTACTTATAGAAATGTGTGCATGCTGCAATAAAATAACCTTCCCTTATGGCTCCCTCAAAAAGGCGCTGCAAGAATCTCTTTTTGTACCTTTTCCTACGAATTGTTCCCTACGATTTGCCTTTATCTCCATGTATATTCAGAAAAATCTCAGGCTATCGTGACAATCACAGAGATGAAGTTTACTCTCGTAGAACAAGTATATTAGCTTTGGACCTTCACCCAGTGGTCTTCCCTAGTGTGATACAAAATCCTGTCAGTTCAGGTACGTATGCAAGCTGTATCGTACGACACGGAAGGCACTCACCTTACCACAGATGTCATTAACAGCCACATGAACAAAGATGGATGCCTCTTCTATACCTTCCAGGTACACATGTCGGTAACCTGAAATGGAGTGAACAAAGCTGACGTGGAGTTGAAACAGATGACAGGAAGAGCATCTAGAGACTCTCCTTTTGTAAACAGCAAAAGAAATTAAGCATTTTTTTCCCAGCTCCTCCCCACAATAAGCATCCAGGCTTATGCATCACCTAGCCACACTCAGTTATGTAAGAGTCACACCACTTACAAACTTAACTACCATTTCTCCTTGTACCTTTTATTTTATAAAAAAAGCCGCGTCCTGTTTTTTCCAATGTCCATTATTGCTGCTGTCAATCAGTGACTTAAACTGGACTACATTCTCTCTTGGGGACTTACAGTCCATTATTAACACGCAAACTTTTCAACCAAGTTCATTTTATTGAGACTGGATGTTTGTTTTCAATCTTAAACACAAACTTTTTTCTTTACTTTGAAAGAAAAGAAAAATATACACAGAAGAAGCTTTAATGTGAAAGAAGACTGAATTGAAAACAGAAATAGAAAACTGACAGAAAATGGCATTTAATAACCTGGATCCCATCATTAGAATAGGTAACTACCTGTTCTACATTAAACTATTGCTGATAGTAATAAGACCAAAACTCTAGTGTCTTTCAAAAACTGGTGTGAACAAAATGGAGGAAAAAGCAGTATGAGAGAACACAAGTAAAGATTCTGTATGGTAGTCTTTCAAGCCCACAATATTTAGCCATCCTGCTTAACAATCTTACCCATTTTTTGAAAATCTAGTCCCATATAGTTAATTGATTTAGTCTTCATCATCATGTAAGTCAGTAGTGGACCAAGACAGAGATTTCAGGGTCCAAACTCCCAGTCTCTTGTTCTAACTAGAAATTTCTGCAGCAGACACATGCACACACATTAATGCAGCATTTGCAGCTTCAGTTATCACAGCAAAAAGTTCTAGCCAACTGATTTGGGATTTCACCATTTCTGTCTTACCTGGCATCATACTGCTGAAAGCTATTGTTCTCTGTCCAATAAAATCACGCCCAATTGGATCGTGATCCCACACAAGGAACCGAACCAGTGCAATCTCTGGCATGTGTACTGTGAACACCAATGTTTCCTCCCACATTGGGTTAAAACCTTGGAATGAAGGAATCAACTTTTAGATATTTCATTTACAAGATGCAAGAAGAAAGAAGACTGCCTACATAAGGAATGCCAATACTGCTATGTCATTCTAATTTTCCTAACAGTTTGATCACTGTTCTTGGAAAAACCAGTACTGCAGGAGACACAATAGCACAAGAATTTGCAAGAACCAGAGTTGGATCTTACTTAAATTTGGCCCTACTTTCAGCAGGTGTTTGGTCAACCTGACTTCCTTCTGACCACAGCAAGCTCAAAATACCCTTCTCTCATACACAATGAGAAGTCAGACAAATGACTTGTTTTACACCAAGACCTTCACAACATTATACCAACTCAGTCGAACGATTCAAGACCCAAGTGTGATTAACATCAAGAACGCTTAAATCAATTTTTCAGTGCTTTGCCATAATAGGCACCAAATTTCATCTACTCGTATCTATATGAACAAAACTTGCCTGAAAGAGGATGTTTCAGCCATAAAAAACCATGAGACCGACATAATCTTACCATTATCATCAACTACTCTAGTTTGTTCTTTGAAGCAATCAACAGGTAAGCCTATAACTTCTACTTCAACAAACGGATCTATGATCTGGAAAACAGAAAGTAACAAATATTGAAAAGAAAGAGTGACAAAGATGAAATTCAAGCACGTGGCTTTTACGATGTGGGCATTGTATGTTATGGTCTTAATAATGATTGGTTCTGAGCCCTTCTGTAATAGATTATTATGCTGATGAAAGATCTCTGGCTAAATCATCTAAAAGCATAATTTAGAATAATCATGTTGTATGCATTTGTGATCATTTCCCCATTCTATTCTATTTCTCTGTTCTAAAATGAACTTCAAACACTGGTCTGCATATGAACATTTTCTAATTCAGTGGATACTTGAGTAAAAGCTTTAAAATTTATTCAAAACAGATGCAGCGACATTAAAAAATATCCCAACAAGAATCATCTGTTAAAAGTCTCAGTGTCATCACGGCACAATTGACAAGGCAATGGTCAAAACAAACGGGAGATGTGAGTTCTACCTCTGGCCTATTGGTAAACGTCTCCTATTACTACCTTCCACTTCTGGAAGAAAGTCTGCTTAAAATGTAAGTTTGAGAAACTAGAGCATGTCTATGGTTGCTGTAATTACCTAAGGCTAGGAAGCCTTTGACTCTGTTGAGACCGCTCTTAAATGAGAACCTCAACTGAATTACAAGTTCCCTGGAGGCCACAGTGGGAAGGACATTCTGGGGATCACAGAGGAGGACCATCCTGGCACAGAGTCTTTACATTCTACTAGGTAGCCACAGAGATAATCCTGTAATTGGCCTGAATCTCTACACTTTTTATTTAGTGTTTAAGAACCTCTTGTGTCCTCTGAAAGGATGACAAGTTTTGACAGAGTTAAGTCTCAGGGTGACACCTCTATCCCTGTTCACGAGGAGGGGGAAAAGGCAGGTAGCTTTAAAAGATTAATCTGTGTTCCAGCCTGTGATGTGGCTCATATAAAAACCTACGCTGGACCCATTCAATTATATGTCATTTGAAACAGCAACCTGATACTCAAATCCACCATCCATCTCCCAGTAAGTAAATAACACTGAAGACAAGAGTAGCTATAATCAACTATTAGATTTTTGGAAAGTTTGTTACTGCTTTCAGATATCAAGAATGTAAACAGCCAACGTGATCTCAGCAAGAATGAAGAATCTTCCCGATGCTTAGGAGAACACGATGTTCCTTGTGCCAGTGTCCCTACAGAATGCTTTACCACTAAAGAAAAATCAGATGTGTTATGTCTGCTTTTTGTTACTCTCTGAAAGACACCTCATCCTCAGTAGGAAAGACTACACAGTGTATTTGTCAAACATCTTATCTTGTTTGCCTAGCTGTATTCTACAAAATCTTTTTCATAACATAGAGTGGTCACCACAATAAAGGTCTGATTTTTCTCTGGTATAATTATATGCAAAGGAAACATATAAAATGAAACATGGAATTTTAAACACCACCTAACTTACTATAGCTTTCAACAGGGCTTTTATTTCTGAGGGCATGTAGTAGGCTTATGTAGCGTAGATACCTGACTTAGCTCAGACACTGACAGCAATCAAATCAGGGAGCACCAGAAATTGGGTAGGATGAGCCAGCCTACAAGTACGTGGCTAGAAGTGAAACTAAGCCTTGCTCAGGGTTAAACTGACTGCAGGCTGGGTATCTGGACAGACTGGGTGCAGATCGTTTCTTAAGATTATTTAGGCATTTTATCTTAACTGTTAATTTTCCTATATATTGTTGGCTCCTGACATGGGGAGTAAGTTTGTATGTTTTGCAGGCACTTCTAGAATAATCACTTAAAACATGACTGTTTGCAGCTGTAGGGAACTGGATTCATGGGCTCAGCTAGTTTTCTTCCAAGACTATGTTCTGCACGAGCTAATTCCCCTACTGTTCAGGATAAAATGGAACTCCAACAGATTATTCTTCGTTGCCTGAAATATGAGTGCAATCTGAATTAGGACAAATTCCATGCTGTTGCATATGTGGTATTAATAAAAATAGAAATAAAGAAAGAAATGGAAATTAATGAATTAAAACATAGATAGATTCACTAAACCCTCAGTATGACTTTACTGTGTGTGTTTTTTAGGTTTGATGTAGTCACCTAAAGAGTTCTGTGGAGAAAGAGTATTTAGAAGCTGATTGCAACATTCATATAAAATTCAAGCATGTAAGAACTCATTTGAGAGGTTTGATTCTAATTGCAAAAGGCTAAAAGGAAATTTTAATTCTGACAAAAGTTCATCCTAGCATTCATTAAAGATGTGGATGACAGCAACACCAACAAACAGCACAAGAAATGATGAAACTTTAAAAAGCTGCCAAGAACTTGCAAATCTACCTCCTTTTAGTCTGATATTTCATTAACTGAAGTTGCCAGGGGTTTTATAAAACAAATAAAGGATCACCAAAAAAAACCCCAACCCTTAAAAAACCCCCCAAAACCAAAAAACCATCACACAACAGAAGCCAAAACGAAGGACAGAAAGAAAACATGTAATAATGCTGTGCTATATGGAGGACCGGGAGCAGATTCATGCAAGCAGAGGGAAGGACTCCCAAGTAACTCTGCTTCCCTTGCCTGACAAGCTCAGCAGTTTTCTACATTTATTTTTTTAAAGAGACAGACCCACTTGGCTCTATTTGCAAGGGTGTTTTGGAGGAAGGAAGACGTTCAGAGTACTATGGTGAGCTGAAAGGCATCGTGACGAGCTTATTGGCCCTTTTTTGCTTCTCCTGGAGGCACTGTATTGACAATTGGAGGAAAAACATCCAACCATTGCTGTGATGCTTAGAAGTGAAGAAAAGCACCTAAAGATCTAGGATGCTAATGACCTAATTTATTCATGTGTTATCTCTCCTGACAGATAACTGCGGGAAGTTAAATCCTCATCCTTAGCCCAGCCAATATGGAAATAAACCTTCTCCAACACACAAGAACAATCACTGATTGCCCCATACCTCTCCTCTGTCTCCCAACATGGAATCACGTGGTTTTGGGAGTTGTTGGCCACTGATAATTCTTAGAATCAGCTGTTTCTTCAATTGACCAGGCAGTGGGTCTTCAGAATTTGGATTAAAGACACCTGTAAGAATGAGAAGTCACATAATGTGAAAGAAGTGCAATTTTGGGGATGACTTTAGTTGTAGATACCTTCTGTCTTATTTGCTTCTAGCATCAGAAATGCATTTTTAAACAAACTATAATAAGGACCCTCAACCACTCTTCTCATGCAATAAGTGACCCACTTATTTTGCTCATTTTCCTTACCTTGACACATGCAGTTCGGTTTGAGGACATAGCCACAATTCCCATTGGCACTAAATTTGGCCCGGTTCAGTTGCAGCATTCTCCCCTCTGACTGATAGTTTAGTGCAACTATTTAAAAACAAAAAAAAAAAGTGATATTGCTTACTGAGTACGTTAACAACATTCTTGTTTGTAGAACCAAGTTAAAGGAAGGACGCCTAAACATATTTTCACATTTGATTTCTTGGATGAAAAAACTCAGATGTTTTATGAATAAGAGTTCTCTTACATAACATACATCACAGCTTCAGGGAGAGAAGCTCTCCAAAACAGTCTGAACTCTAAAGTCCTCTTGCATTTAAGAAGTTCATTTATTTCCATTTATCAGACAACTACTTGCATGTAAGACACATGTTTGAGATAATCTATCTAGGTAACAGACAGTAACAAGGACGACTCAATTGTCAGTAAAGTTGGATGAGCAGAGAACTCAGAGTATTTTAAGGGGTGATTCTGAAGCTCGTATTAAAACATCCATCCCAAAGTAAAACAGAAATAAACAAATTTTCTTTCTGCTCACCAAGTTGGCAGCCAGCATTCCAGAATGGCTGAGGATTGTAGTTGCTAGAGTCCACGCGATAAGACGACGGGTAGATGCGGGACAACTGATGCTGGTTGAAACGTAGATACTGTGCTGGCTTTTGCTGCAGTATCTGGTGGGCTTTTGTTTCACTGAAAGATGAAACCTGCCAGCTGGAAGAGACTACAAAGCAGAGAGGAGGAGATTAGAGGTAATCTCCTTATTTATAAACATAAACCTTTCAATTTCTTTGTATAGCATTAATTGTTTTCAGCAGACTTGCAACTCAACGTACTTTCAGTTTCAACATCATGGATGCCAACAGACTTTGTGTATTTCACCAGGTCAGAGAGTGCCCTGGACAGCTTCATTGTTTTCTTCTGTCGGTTTATCCTAGAAAGACAAAACAAATTAATTTCCCATTAATTATGGGGTAAATTTTGTCTTTCATATTTAAAACTAAATCAGGGTAAAGAAATATAAGAAGCTTTTCTTCTGCTAAGGAGGTAGTTAATAGTTTTATACCACATAGAGCTTCATTGTCAAAGCCCAGAAGTCGTGGAACCAATGGCATGAAAGTATACAGAGCAAGTAAGAACTGTTCTTACATGTTAATGGCAGACCTAAGCATTCACCTACTGAGATCTGGTGGGGAGGATTCTAAATTGCTTTGACCAAAGGGTGGAATATCTATTCACATATATATTTACTTCTCAAGTCAAGTGCTAACAAAAAAACTTTTTAAATCCCAAAGAAATAGGAAGAAAGTAATGCCCTGATCCTCCTCATTTCCTTCAGGTTATCACTAACAGCTTATCTACTGCCCTCCCAAAAAAAGCTCCAAAGTATCCTACAGAACTGCTTGATCTGATTTCTTACTTTTGAAGCCTGAAGCTTAAGCAACCATTCTGCAAAGGATCTTTGATGTCAGAATTTTTGAAGAGGCAATTTCAAAAGAAAAATCAAAATCATCACCTGAATGTTGATGCAACTTCATTTGGCAAATTATAAAACAATTAAAAAAATCAGCTGGGGACCTGATACACTGCAAATCCACCTTAATGGATTCACTGGGCCACCAGTCAAATGGCCTATATGTCAGCTGGGTAAGATGGTAAGAGCTCAAAACATATACAAGGTCCACTGGACTTTGCTTATTAGTGTGAATGACACCAAGAGATCATTCTGGTGATCTTGTGGCAGACATCGGATCTAACCTTATACCAGATTCCTGTCACGTGCCTGCAGCATTCAACAAATTGCCTTCTAGACCTGGAGCGTATCTATTTAGTGGGTATGTTTATGTAGGTATCTTTTTTAGAAACAAAATTGCCAAATCACTCATTAACAAACCTGCTGTAATGTACAGAGCTCCTGGCTAAATTTCCTTGAGAATCCAAATCATCTTCACCTTCTTCCAGACTTGTTGCCTTTTTCAATTTGCTTCCTTTTTTCTGTGCCACAAGGGAAGAAAACCATAATATCATAACCATCCGATGAACGTTCGAGCAGCTGGAGACAATTCTGCTTTGTTATGCCAATGAGTATGTTACTTATAGAAAATGGGAAATGACAGCTTTTGTAGCACTCAGCATTGCAGAACGATATGCATGCACGTGGGGAAGGCTCAGCCCAAGGTCAGAGCCTTTTTATAAAGGAATCACAAATCCTCAGATAAAAGGTGCTAGTGAATTTTTATGTTTTTCAGGTGAGATCTTGGATACTTTTAGACCTTGATGTAAACTGAAACTATCTGTTATGCACAATTATAACCAGTTACCCAGCCTATCTACTCAGTGAACAGTCCGATAGCAAGCCTCTGCCAGACAATGCAATTATGATATTCCTCTCCACCACTGTGTGCAAAGAAGAAACCTACCCAAGAACAGAATATTTAGTGTAGACCTAATCTACCGAGTGACTCACCTTGCGTTTAGAAAAGCTGCCCATCAATGACCGGCTGTACCTTTTATGGGTACTGAAGTCTTCCTCAGATTCCATATCATCCTCAAGTTTATTCTAAAGCAACCAAACAGAAAGAGAAATGTAGCAGACAAACAGAGTGCTACAGAGAGCATATTTGAACATCATCAGAAATAGTCTGGGAAGCAATCCTCCCTAAAGTGTCAACAGAACTGGACCAGAGCAATGCAGACTTTTGGAGTATATACCACATACATCCATTGACGCCAGACTGGTTTGTAGCTTAATGTTTGAAAAGCATAGTTTAACAGGGCTTGTTTCTGCCAATTACACAGTTTTACTAGGATATTCCATGGTAAGAAAGAAAAAAAAATTCTCGTAATCCCTAAAAATGTATGTATTTCATTGATGCTACTGTTTTTTAACATGACCTTACAGTTTCATTGTTTCCTAGACTAATAAAACACAGACTATTCTGGTTAACAGCTATGCAAAAGGATTTTTGAGGTGGATCTTACAAGAGTAACTGTCTGATACATTATGTAAATCATTAGGCTTAAAAGCACATACAAAACTCATGCCAGAGAAAGTTTTAGGAAGCTGATTTTTCGTTCTCATCTTGTTTTAATCCCTAGTTAGTACACCTGCTTATTATTGGCAGATCTCCAATGTTCTTCATTTGCATGCAAAAATCTTCCTAAGCTTTTTGTGGCTTATTACAAATTCTAAAATGGCAAGTTCATGAAGTGTAGTCTGTGGGCTGAGTACATTTTTATAAATAAGCATTAGTATAAAATTAAAATGCAAATGTAAATGCATAGAACATAGAGAATGGAGGGGGGAAAAAAGCCCAACTTTTACATGCACTTTTTAAAATGGAAGATAAAATTCTTTCTGTTGAAAAGTCATTTCATGTGTACATTTCATGCACCAATTGCCGTGTGAGCAAGAAAGGCTTTGCATGTCTGACAGTGATGTTCACCTGGCATCATCATTAACTGAATGAAATCAGCTATGAAGTCAGTAACATAAGATTTACTCAGTAAGCTAATAAAACACAACAAATGGAAATGCTAACCAGCTCTTTCTCTGAAGTCACTGGAGAAAATCACTGGACTTTGGAGAAAGAGGTGGTTAGCTTTTCAGTTTATATTTTGAAGAACTGCCATATTTCATTTTCATCTGCAATAACAGACTATGCCTCTGCATCAAGTGTGAATCATAAAACCAGCTAAAATTAAAATCTCATTATCAGCAAATCAAAAAGAAGCTTCTACTAAATGGACATAAATGTGAAAAGTAGTCTTCCTTATAATATAGCTTTTATATAAGCAACATGAGGTATTAATAAGATGTCGTGACAAAATATTACAGCAAGTACTATGGAAGAAGGGAACATTTTTTCTTATATATTGAAATAGCCAAATATGTGTTGGTCAGGGCAGTCATCCAAGCACAGAAAACATAGCTTCAAAATCCCAGTTCCACCTAAGTCTGAGTGGGGACATGAACCTCGATCTCCCACATCCCACGTGAACGTTTTGGCTATCCGGTTATTCTTGAGTTCTATTACCCTAGTTAACCTAGACAGGAGACAGGGACCTAATGGCAAATAGACTCTGCAAAATTCATTGTGTGACTCGCACTGTCTTGTTTTAAGGGAAGTGTTGAGCATTCTTTAGTTTCATTAGTACTATGATAGCTGCAGACATCTCAGGTAAACTGAGCTATCTTTACTGGGGAGTCTCAAACCAGATTTAAAAGCCCAACTTTAGACATCCACCTTTGAAAGGACAAGCATTATTGTTATGAAATAGTAGTACTACGTAGCTACAGAGACAAACAAAACAACAGTCAGGTCAGAGGTAAGTGAAGTACAAAAAACATGTTCACCTTCTTGCTATCTGATTTGAGACCAGCCTTTCCTGTTGATGGTAGAGTGGTAACTGTAAAATTGTTCGGATCTTCACAGTCACGGATTTTGGATTCTTTTATCAGTGAGTCAAGTTTTTTCTTTGCTATATTCTCTACTCTTTTCCTATTAGTAGATGCCTACAAACAAAACAGAGTCATTAAACCAGGTAGTGATGAATAAAGTCTTAGTAATTCCAGCCAGGATTAATGCAAACTAAAATGTTATGTGCAAGAAAAAAAAGAAAAGTAAAAAAAAAAAAAGAAGAAAGAGGTTCTTCATTTGCATAATGTGAAGCAGTTACCTGCAGCTTGGTATCAGACTTAATGTAAGGTACGGAAGTATGTGATGCCCTGAAGTAGATGTTGGATCTAAAGTGCAAACAGATTGTCTGAAGTGATGAGAGAGTAAAAGTGATTAAAACGGTTCTAGTTAAACCAAGATTGACCGTTAGCAGAGCTATTCAGATGCAATGTCTGTTACAAGCCAAGGATGTGCTAACACAGAAATGGTTATTACTGAGATGACTCCCCATACTGAACTGGATTAACATATGCTATGTTTTGCAGCACATACTTAGTAAAAAATCTGATCTATTCCATTGTGCTGTCCAACAAGCCATTCTTCATGGAAATTCAATAGTAATGGATATGTGTGGAAACTCTGAGTAAATGGTATTTCTCTCACACATTGGGGTTGATGGACAGCATTCAAATGCTATGTCAAGCTTGACTCTGCAGCTATAATAGATGCAAGATTCTACTGGATGGAATGGGAGCAGCTTAGAATCTTGATTTCAGCAGTTCAAGGGCAAAGTGCAAGAGAACTCCTGTCCCCTCCTTCTCATACGAGGTTTCTTCTCACTGGGATGGGAAAACTTAACACACATGTACATTGAAATGGTCACTTAACTTACATCTCCATTCATTAGTTTACAGTCATCATCAATCTCATCAGCACTGTCCTCATCAGAAACTTCACCTTCCTCTGCATCATCACTGATGCTGGCTGGAAGTTTCTTCCCCTAGAAGATAAAATGATTACACAGGCAGGTTAGCATGCAGCTCTTGCTATCACACATTTAAGAAAAAAAAAAAAAAAAAAAAAAAGAAAAAAAGAGATATTATTCAAAGCATGCAACCCAGTCGCTATTGATTGAGAAGACATTTGTTCAGAACCTTAACTACCAGGTTCTTAAAGACTGCTTTTTGTTAAATGATTTTAGTGATAAGTGATAACCAGGCAGAAATCACATTCATCACAAACAAAAAGAGGGATGAAGCAAACAAAACAGGTTTTTACCTTAACCAGTATCTTTCCTTTAAGACTTGCTGGTGAAGGGAGCGTGGTACAATCATCACTGTGCACAGAAGACAGATCCAGTTTGTCTCCCAGAATTTCTATAAGATACTGAGCCATCTTCTTCTGCTGAATGACACTGCAATGGTTCTCAATTGACAAGATAACAGGGTACCTGGCGGAGACATAAGCAAGTATCATCAACTGCAAATTTAGCTTTTATAGCATTGAGAGGATAAGGGTTATTATGTCTGAGCCATTCCTGTAACAGGCATCACCACCAATGAAATCCACAGGGGTTAGATAAATCAGTGTGGGCACAGGACTGATACCCCACTACTCACTCCAAACTGAATGGTCCATTTTTGACAGCCACAAGGTGACTAAACTTCTGCAATCTGATTTGATGCATTTTTTTCCAGAGCACACTTTTCACCTTCCTACGCTACCCAGTCCTGACCTCCACTTCCTATCAAACAGATTCTAGCAAGCCACTCATAAGGAAAACCTAAATAGCCGGTGCCTCCAACTCTCCTCTCCTTCAGCCCTTTTGTACTCTCATAGGTAAAAGTAAAAAAAGGTTCCAAGAACTGAAAAGATGCCCAAAGGGGCTTTGTCTTTACCTTCCCACTTCCAACAACCAAGCAATAAACCTGTTGCGTTAAGTTCTGCCGTGAAAACTTTTCTAGCTAGCAACAGAGCAGTATCATACAAACAATACAGATGAAGCCTCTTCTACAAAGACAGTAAGTATTATTTCTAGATTTTTTTTTAATTGTTGATTCTCCAGGCTGAGGCCAAGTTGCCTGGTTGTTTGAAAGGCATCAAGGTAAGAGTTGTGAAGCATTGATTCCAGCGTGTTTGGTGCCATATAAAAGCACACTGAAGATGGATTTCTGTTTAGAGATGATGCGCTCAAAAAACACTATACAGTGCAGTTTGTAGAGCTGAATTATGAGGGATTAATTATTAAAAACTAATTATGAATAAAAAGATGTCTACCCTGACACCTGCCCTTGTTAGCTCCTCATCAGGAAAAGGCTTTCAGCCAGACAATGCTTGCAGGACAAAACTTTCCCAGTTGATGACTATAAATTCCTAGCTTTGCCTAAAAGAGTTCCTTAGTTGAGTTCGTGGCCTACCAACAGCTACGCCTCCAGCCTGTCCTGGGAAAGAAAACACCCGCAAGTCTAAACTGTGTTTCATTCAGTACCAAACTCTGACTGAGCATCAATACTTATCAAGAAAAAAAACCCACCACAAATAATAAGTTGTAACGTGGTCCCAGTTAACCTTTCTGTAAAGCTTTTAAGAATTGCAACAATTTCAGAAGCGTTGCTATATATTCTGCTGGCCAGCTTTCCTTTGCTTTATTTACCATGTCTTCATGCAAATTCCAGAAATTTCAGGCTCACAATAATTTTACCTGGGCTAAAATGGCAGTGCAAGTTTAGCTCAATTAATGAAGGCAGATGGACTGCTTTGGAGAAGCTACTGGAATAGTTTTACAGAGACAAATCAATTTATCTTAAAAACCAAAAAAACCCAACCTGATAGGTTGACACACACATTTTGACTCTCAGGTGGAGGACAGTACTGCCAAGGTATATGAAACTTCCCATTGTATAACTCTCTGATTTCCTGAGCAATGTACAGGTAGGGAAAACAACCTATTTCTCTTGAACAGTCTGCTTGCTCCACAATTGGGCTACTGTCTCTTTGTATTCCTTTGCTGCCTGACTTGCTTCCTATCCCTGGAGCAACCAAGTGTAACCTTGGCATCACTGGAGTACACATCCAGAGAGATGTGGTTAAACTGTCAGCTATTCACTAAAAACATTCACTGTCAAAACATGTTGATCCTCTTGTCTTCTACAAGTGGGATAAAGACAGCCCCACAACTATGTACAGAATGTCCCTAATCAGTCAGTTTTGCCTTGTTATTTCTTTCTGAAGGCTTTCTCCCTGCAGAAAACAACTCAGATTTCTGTCTGGCATATGCAGAAACAGGTTGGATTTTCAATGACTGCCTTTACAAGGACGCCTGGGAACGCCCCGGTTTATAGCCCTGAGACTCAAAAGTTGGCAGGCTGTATACATACTCATTCTTGATAAAGGCATATTTGTTGATAGTTTCAATCACATCTTTGAAGAGAATTTTGGAAGTCAAAGTGTATCCATGGTGGACAATTGGTTCACCGTCCGGCCCATCCCAGCAGTCAACTGTAGAATAGAAACAATGACACCCATCAGACAAGTAACATCTGGGGCCACCATCTGTGGAAGACTATGAGACCCTGCAACTCCCTTCAGCAACCCAGCCAGACATGTACCCAGCAAAGCAGGGTATAGGTTCATTCCCACCCTTCATCTCTATCTCCCTCCTCACTGTGCTGAACGTCCTTCCCCTGAAGAAACTTCCTGGCCTTGACATTCTACTGTGTACAGCTGACTGTTCCCATTGTTTGAGAAAGGCCCAAGCAAAAAAGGTCTCCTTTAACAAGTGCTGAGGAGTATTATGGCAGGAAGAGAGATGACATAGCATAGCATTACTTTCATTATACTACTGCTAAACCTGAAAAGGAAAGCAGAGAATCTTAGCCAAGCTTCTCAGACCACAAGCAAAGCCAAGACTTAGGCATCTCTAGCCCTCCTTGGATTTTGCCTAACCTTATACTTGTTTACAATCATATTTCCATGAAATGTTTTACTCCTCTGAGGCACCCATTGGCATGTCCACAATCTGACCTGAGCAAACCATAATATTGGCCTTCTGAAAAATTGTGAAAACACTTTGATGGTCAGGATATTAAACACTATTATGAAACAGATACTGTCTCAGAAAGGCATTACAAACATCAGAAGGGATTTCACATAAAGGCTCCCTGGTCACTGCAGACATTGTCAACATTTCACATAATAGAACCCTACTTCCCTTACCAGAGCTATCAGCTCTTCTCTTGCATGTAGCAGGAACTCTGCCATATTTGCCAGTTTGGTTGCCATACGCTTGTCTAGAAAGTATATACACCAATACATTCTACTGAATTTTAGTATCCTCCCTACAAAAACATTTTTATATTTTTTTTCCTCAGTACCAATGATACTGCTCTTCAAATGTCTGCCTTATTTCCATGCTCAAGAAATGTATCCATTATATGGCAACATTACTTTCTTGCACTTTGCGAAGGGAAGACCCCATTCTACTAGGCTTTTTCCTCTACCCAATTACCATGTCTTCTGCAGAAGTCATGAGTCTTCCTTTACAGAGGAGAAACAAAACTACAGAGCCTACTGATGATTCCTTTTTGATCTTTACCTTCTACGCAACGACAGCCAGATTGTAGCACCCATGCATACATGTCCACCCTAGACTGGGACATCAGCTGATCTCCCATGAGGTAGGTATTATGTGAAGAGGTAATGAAATAGTGACTCAAAGGGTAAGTCATGTCCTGATTCACTTGGTAGTGTTCTGGGTTGAATATGTCCCCTGATGGACTCCGCATGTAATTGGTGAAACCTGTAAACAAACAATACTATAAATAATACAGTTTTGCCCTTTTTGGTGCTGTAGCCTTCCTAAAACCAGCCTAAAAATGCATCCCTACATTCACGAACATGTAAATAAGATAGATAAATAAGTAACACCACTATATCCCAACTGTCACAATGACCAATTGCAATTATTGCTTTCAAGAAATTTCTAGTTGCTTTGTACATTTCCCTGCTCTGCCTTCCCTGAAAAAAATACATCTATATAACCCAACCTGACATTTTAGGCTTATAATTTTTGTCAGAAGACTCTGCTGGGATATTAAGTCACATAGCATATAAAAGCCTCCAGAGGTCTGCAGCCATATCCTGGCATCGCTCCTCAGTGAAATTAGTTGAAAGATATATGGTATTGTACTGCCTAGAGACAGCTTCCAGTCGCCCAACATAGTTTGAATCAAGGGAGATACTCTCCCCTTCTCTTTTTCTCCTGAAAATACCAGAAGAATGTCAACACACATTGGCTTGTACAAGCAACAGCCTCTAATTTTGATATGACACCGCACGCACAAACATGCATGCGGATGGGCATCATCTGCAGTATTGCATCACTGTCACTTTATGAGACTGAAATTCCCTGTAATACTCCAGGCCTGACACCAAAACATCGATTATCTGTAGCACTTTCAGTGATGCCACCAGAACAATTTATTTTCCGAAGTAGTGGGATGCTTGCAAATCATGCAGACTACGTCATCTGGACAATTCCTGTATTGTAATCATGACTCTTGTTCAGAAGCAAAGTTTTAGCAAGTCATGTTTTTTATCTTTGTATGAAATTGCTGCTCTCAGACCACCAGGACACTTTTGTGTACATATACACGGACACTTTCACAAGACAGACTAACATTAAAAACCGTAACTTCCATTTCAAATGTCCCCAAAATTCTTTTCATTCACCACCAATGAAAGACTAAGATTTCCACTCACATCCTGGCTTAACAGCTGCTGACAGCAATGATGCCTTTATTCAAAAGGACTCTGCTTCAAGACTTCCAATTCTCCTGGCATTTCACTCATTTTGCCATAAAGAAAACAGTGCCTGTATAAAAATCCCGTCAAACTTCTACAGGTCTTAATGCACTTTCTCTGACTGTGACGGACTGCTGCTTTTTTTCACTAGAGCTACACAAGGCAAAATAACTCCAGTCCTCAAAATCAGCCTCAGAATACCGGTCTACAGAACACAGAGACGTTGAGCTGGGACAGAATTTAAGATAAAATGTCACCTTTATGATGGTTCTTATAGGCTTTACATTTTGTGTTGATGAATGTTTTATTAAAGGAAAAGAGATGATAAATACAAATAGCAGCCAACAATAGACTAGGAAACAGTGCTAAGGAACCTCAGCCTAGCCTAATATCTGAGTCTCTGGAGGCACATATCATGATCAACTAGCAAACCAGTAATACAGCTAGAGTGAAAAAAAAAACCAAAAGACTAACCAAGTCAGAGCAGATAGCATGAAAAACTGATAGGGCACGGTGTATGTCAGCAAACATGCAGCTAATGACTCTTGGCAAATGAACCATTTCTTCTTCCTACAAACCAGACAGCTGCTACAGGAGTAATTCCACACAGCACTGTTAGGGCAGCCTGTGAACGATGCTATAGTTTGCTTTAAGCTGTTGCATTTCAGTCTCCCTAGGCACCACCCAATTTGTTTTCTGGAAGACAAGACAGATCGAAAGTCTCAACTACACACAACGAGAAGAAAAGAATAACTTCTCTGTGTGTCTGTGTGCGCACACGCACACGTGCATACATGTATATGCATGCAGATATATATCTATGTGTTTTAAGCAGCTCTTTGTCAGTACCCATCCAGCAGTGTACCCCTTGTCAGCTCCTCGGTCACCTCTGTTCGGATGTTATCACCAATGCACTCCAGAAACCTCCTGCATTAGTTAAGCTCTAGATATGTTCTGTTGTGTTGCACTTCCAGCAAAATCACCCATAAGGAGCACAGCCTGCTAATGTGAAGTTTTTCCCAGTTGTCTCAAAACGACCTCATCTTCTACCTCCTCCTGATCAGGGGATCTGTAGCAGACACCCAGCAGAACGTCACCCATGTTGGACGGTTCTCTAATCCTATCCCATAAACTATCAACTGTTTTATCATCCATTCTTAGGCAAAGCAATTTTATAGATCAGGCTAGTTTTTTAAAAGGTTTTCTTTCCTTTTGTATGAAAAGCATGAAAAACTACAATTGTTTGAAAAGCCTAGTCTGACTTTTCTAGCTATGAGGAAGGCAAGATAACGAACCTGATTATTCATTATTTATGTGACTGCCACTGACTGTAAAGCACCAGAAGATAAAACCATGAATATGTCAACGGCTGCACTCACTTAGCATTAGTATAAGCTTTAAAATAAATTGAAAATTTAGTCTGAAAGTAGAAGAGACCTGAATCTATCCTAAGCAACCATCATTTCTTGAAAAAAACCCACCTTACTCAATATACCAGGAACTACCCACTTCTTCATGCAGTAAACAAAACCGAACTTACATTTTGCCACTTTTCACTATGACAACACACCCACAGAAATGGACAAGACTGATTTTCAAAAGGTCCTAGAACTTTTGCACAGAATCTAATTCCTGAGGAATGCAGTCTGTCCTTGGAGTCAATAAGATCTGGCAGAAGATTTACTATTTAGGGGAAAGGATTTAGAATCAGTCCTCAAAATAACAGCTACCATCGTGATGGTACAGCATCATTATATTCAGAGTGAACGCTTTAGCACCAGAGGTCATGAAAGCATGCTTCTAGACAAATTTCATTTATCATCCCACTTCACATGTTTATTCTGGATCACATCACTCCTCTCATTAAAACTTAAAGAATTTCCAAAAATACCTGCAGGAATGAGGAACTAAATTCTACTGTATTTTCCAAAAGCACAAGTAAAGGCACATGCAGCTCCAGCTGACCTTCAATGACTGCTGCTTCATCATGATATGTACCTTTAAACATCTTGCAAAGAGTACCAATTTCCCTTTAGGTTCCTCAGCAAATAATACATACTAAAAAAAAAACCCCAACATTACTGAAAAGCATACTCTATACAACATGACAAAATTCTATGACTATATATTATGCAAACGAATGCCATACTCTCATAAGCATTTAAACAGTTGCCTCTCTCCTACAAAAGCTCCACCAGCTAGCTTACCATCAATCCCCAGAGCTCCTTCCTTCTTGTTCTCCAGGCATGGCTCAAACTTGCTGATGATTTCCAGGCAGTGTTCTTTAGTCACATTCGTCATCTGTAGAAGTAGTCAAAAATGAAGTGTTAACTAGTAATCACAGCCTCTCCTAGCTCTTCTCTCTGTGTACAGTTTAACAACTGGCCAGATCATAGAATCATGGAATGGTTTGTGTTGGAAGGGACCTTAAAGACCCTCCAGTTCCAACCCCCTGCCACGGGCAGGGACACCTTCCACTAGACCAGGCTGCTCAGAGCCCCGTCCAACCTGGCCTTGAGCACTTCCAGGGATGGGGCATGCACAGCTTCTCTGGGCAACCTGTGCCACTCATCCATAGTGGTACTAAGGATTTCCAGTTACCCAGAGATGCTCACTGCTGTCAATCAGTGTCAGGTCAGATAAGAACTAGAGTGCTTTGTGAAGTTTCTGTCCTATTGGCAGCTGCCTGATCACAGCCAATAAAGAGAGAGTTCTGCTTTGTAGGTCATATCTGGTTAGAGGGTTATTAGGCACACAGAGCGACCAAACAGAACAAGCTTTGTCACCAACCAATGGGATTTCTTCTCTTGCAGGATTAAAGGATTAGTTTGCATTATCAAAGGGTTTTTACTTCGAAATAAAACAAGAAAATGGCTCATCTTTGTGCAGCAGACAGAAAAATCAGTTACTAGCAGGGTAACAGAGAATCGGGACATAATGCTCTCAGAAAGCTCCTTGAGGAGATCTGCTAACTTCAAGGTTGCTTTGCATTCTCAACTGAAAAAGGAAAGAGTACAAAGGGAAATACGTGTTTGTAAATGTTAGTATTTTTTTTTAAAAAGGCCATTTATTATATTCTGTAGCTTTTTTTTACTTGCAATGTTTTCATAATTCAATTTAAACACTATTATTTAATATTCCTGCTATTTACTGTTGATTTATCCTTTAATTATTGTCCCTGCTATTATTTAATATTCCTGTCCTGAGTGGTCCAGCAAATCCTTTCCACCAGGTGCTGTACCTGACACATGAAAATACAGCCCCTGTCACCAGAGGGGACTGCCAATACAGTGACCAAGTTGATGACTGTTTTGGCAACATGGAATCTTTGCTTAGGGGGAAATGAAACCACCAGCACATCTGCTACCAGATCAATGCCTTTTCTGGGGGTAAATGAAAACCTAATAAATAAATGTAAAAGTAGGAGAAGAAGAAAAACCTAACCCTTTATTTGTCCATACATTATAGGTTTGCTGGTTCAAAAGCAAAAGCTCTGGAACAACAGAAGGTTTTTCTGGTCCAGCTTCAAACGCACAGAATGAATGCTTGTTTTCCCTGTACATATCGTACGAGAAAGGGCAGCACTAGGCAAGGGAGAGAAGCCCCAGGGGCATGAGTTGTCCACATCAGTGATTAGCTGAGCTGCTTTGTGTCCTGTGGCTAGTCTTCATCTCCCTCTCACCATCTGGAGGATCAATTGACCAATGAAATGGAAATATATCACATTTATCTAAAAAGATAACTTCCAGAGAGGTGGCTTTTTATTCATTCATTTCTTAGACAACTTTTGAAACTGATGGAGATGTACGACTTACAGGCATGCAGCTTCAAAAGAGATCATGAGAGGAAAAAGGCAAAGACAAGTCAATACATTTGTTCCTGCACTGACTGCATCTTGCTGTCCAATTATTTTTCCTCACTTCAGAATCTTCCCCAAGTCTCTAGATGAAAGATCATAGGAAAATTCAGGACCTCAGGAAGTCATCCTGCCCCAAATCCTGCTCAAAGCAGGGTAAACTAGGAGGTCACATCAGTTAGCTTAGGGCGTTACCTAGCCTGGTCCTCAAAACCTCCAAGGATGGAGGCTGCACAAGCTCTCCAGGCAACCTGTTCCAATGGATGAATGTCCTCATGGTACAGATATTAGATGCCTTGCCATTTTCTGGTCTGCCACGTTACCATGTACCACAAAGCTCCAAGCTTGTTCTGACCAAGCGGTATTTGGGATAGGAGTAAAAGTGTTAGGCTTCCAGGTAGCTTGGTTATAAAGATTCCTAATGCCATAAAGGTTCAAGTCAGTGATGGAGGAAGCAGATCAGTGGGCATGTACGTGGTGCGCCATATGCACAGAGATAAGAAACTTTTATCTTTTACCATTGAAAAATAAGAATATATCAACACTAGTTTCCTTTTTTCATGAAAACATATATGAACTGTCAGAAAATGGACTTCTGTAACTTCAGTGCACACAAGTGGCTGATGGACAAAATTTCTAGTGTGACTGATGTAGGCTAGCCCCCTTGTTAAATACAGTAACGCAAGTGGATAGCATTTACTGCAATACAGCACATAGTTTGCTGGTATTTTGCTGAATGTGCATAAACAACTACAAGCACAATGTATAGGTGCACTTCAATACCCGAATAGCAAAGCTTATAAAGCTGTAAATTAACATCTCTGAAGAATCTGAGACATAAAATGTCTCAGATTCATCAGCAACATTAAATATCATGCTTATCATTATCTGCTGGCTCCCCCCCCCCCCCCCCCCCATATTATTATACAGGGCATACACACATTACCTGGTTTGTCAGACAAAAATATTTTGCCTGTTTCAGAACAGCGAAATGGGAAAACAGTCTTTACGACCCACTCCGGCAATGGAGTTAAAGCACTAAGAAACAACTTAATATGTACTACTACACATCCTCAAAAAACTTTCCCAGACATGAATAATCCTCTCAACCATTCTTCAGAAACATAATCTTCCACTTTATAAACTGAGATAGTGTGACAAAGTAATTCAGTGTCTCATCATGGACTACACAGTAAGTCAAAAGCAGAGCCAGAAACTGCATCTTTGCACCAGGGAAGTGAATACTGGGAAAAGACAGATATTGATGGAATTGTCCTAAGAGAACACAAGAAAAAGAAAGAAACTGTAGAGACTATTTAGGGGCACAAGAAAAGAGCCTACAGAAAAAAGAGGTAATGAGAGCAAGAAGATTCAAGAAATAGTCATGCTAGCCTACAAGATGAAAATCAAGAGGCATCGACCTGTCTATTTTTCACATGCATGACAACAAAGTTCCCACCCCTTTTAAAAGGCAATGCATCCCCAATGGCAAACGGAAAGGCATGCAGATGGGAAGTCTTTTCGCGGCTTGGGCCTACCTTCTGTTCAATCTCCAGAAAGCGCCTCAGGTCATCCGTATCTAGGTAGTCCTTGTGGTTGCTGTAGGTGAGCATTAGCAGGTACAAATCGCGTCGTGTTGACATCATCTTATAGAAAGCGCAGAACTCATCAAAGCCCAGCGTGCCCTGGTTATCATCCGTATCAGCCTCCTGCATTACACACCAATAAGGCAATGAGACACCCAACTGCCCAGCAATAGCCTGAACAAACTTTAAATAAACAAACTCCTCCATGAGAAAGAAAGCAACGTTGAAATTAAATGCAGGTTGATGCTGCCTGACGTGGCTACCCACTGCATGGCCTGCTACAACAGATTGATTTATCAGGCTGATGCTTGTCATATGAGTGCTTTGCACAGCTTTCCCCTTTGAACCTCTTAAATATATGTGTTGGTGCATGAGCCAAGTAAAAACTTTTAAGGCCTTTACTGTTCCACAGGGAGCCCTGCTTGAAGGACTACTTCCATCTACGGCAATGAACAACAGCATACTCCGCAACACAGAACAGAACATGCATATGTCTGGCAGAATTACCCATTCATATTTTCTTGAGAAGATCATTAGAAGCCAAGTCATCTTGAAATTAATTTTATATTCAGGATTTGGGAGGATATCTCTTAAATCCATGTCCATAAACTAATAAGATCTGCAAGAGTACTAATTTTGCAAGCAAAGAAAAAATCATCAGTAAATGACACTATATTCTCTGGTATATCTATCCCCTACAACATGTATGTTTCTTGGTTCTTTACTTTTTGGGGTCAGGTGCCCCAGCCTGTGATCTAAACCACCCTCAGCTGTATCAGCAATACTACTTACTGTTTGCACACAGTGGAGATAGAATTTCTTCAAAGAAATCCTGTGAGAGTGTGATCACAATGGGATCCACCCAACGATACAACTATTTGGAGGAGAGATTATGGAATTACTGTGTTTCCTAAAAGCTTGTTACTAGAAGCATGAAAAGATGAATGAGAAATTCTGCCAGGGGAAGGTATGAAAAAGGAAAGCTGCAATGTTTCCCAAACAGGGTAGACAACACTTGCGTATTTTATGGGGGGGCGGAGGGGGTCAAGCTTCTCCAGCAGCACTCCCTACTTTGTTCTCAGTAAAGAAGTTGGCGGCATATTGCTTTGCTCACCTTCGCTGTAGACATGTTTAAGCACATTCCAGGTCACAAAATTACAAAACAAATAAATCAGGGAAGTTTTTACCAAATCTTCCTATTTTTCACTGAATTTCCTTCACATACTGCAACACGTGTGTTGCATCAGTTGTGGAAAATGCTGACAGTAAGCTCCCACAACCATGGACAGCAGCACTGAGCAGCCTTCACAAAGCACTTCTGTCCTGGCACGCTGCCATCAGTTCACACTTATTTGCCCAAGAACGAAGCGCTGCCATAACCCTGCAATTTATTCTAATGCACCCACAGAGATTCTTAAAAACTTACACAAACAGCCGCCTCCTTCCCTGTTCACAAAGGACACCCTGCACTTGCTCCCTACTTTTAACCTTGATAGACCTCTCTGTTTTGTCTCTTCCAGTCTCACACTTCAGCACTTTCAGAGCCTGCAGCAGCTACAACACTGACTGACAGTATCATGGAGGAAGTGACTGGAAGAATGAGGAGTCATGAAGTCATAGATGAAGCTCCTTTAGAAATGAACCCCAGGTGAAAACATGAATGCATGTGTGAGCAAGAAGCTGATAAATGAGCTGATAAAAATGGCTTTTCCCATTATAACTATGGCAAGAATTTTTAAACAACTCACTGTTTTTTTTAACTAGAACAATTAATATTCAAGGTAACTTTCTTCAAGACCTACATATAATCTACCCTATTATATCTTAAAATACTTGATGTAGCTATTTCATTAACTGCGAGATTTGATTTTTAATTTCAAGGCTGCTTAATATTCTGATCCTAAACTATCAAACAGCAATTATATTTTCAGTTGAGACCAGCTCAGTTTCAATTATGCATTGCATGTGGAAAAAGCAAACCTATTCTTCTTTGCTAATAGCATTTCTAAAGCACCTGGTGCGTGTAGTAATTGTCGTTGATTACAAACAATAAAACCAGAACACGGCATACAATAAGCAGAAATTTTTTCCCAGGAAAGTTTTACCCAGTCTCATCTATTTGGCTTGCATGAAACCTCATGGTTCATCCTGGAAAGAAAGTCACATTAATCTACTAATTTTAATGAGTTTTTAAATTCAGTTCTTCACTAAGCTACAGCCGTAAGCCTAGTACTTGCTAGTATGGAAGAAAAAATACTGAAGAAAAAAAAAAGTAACAGATAAAAATGCTTGGTTTTCTCTGGCTGTACATGCATGATTCTCAAAGGCTTTTGAGCCTGGAATGTGTCCCAGAACTGAATTATTGCAAATCCAGCGATCACTAGGCTAGCATGACTTTCTAGTAAACATGAAGCAGTGCTCAAACAGCTGCCATTCCAACTCTGAGATTTTCAGGCACCTAAATGTACATTATGCTTCTTAAGGTACATACATACTTCGTCCAGACTTTGCACCTGAAAAATGAAAATAGCTGAAAAGTCCTCACCTCCAATACTCTCATAAGGTACAGCCTGCACCCTAGAGGTAACAATTTTGTGTACGCAGACAACCAGGACCTAACACAGTAGCACATGCTCTTGCAGGGATAGGACTACAACCCTTCATCCCGGTAGCCAACCCCCAGTAGAAAGTAAGATTAAAAATAAAAAAGGAGTTTTTACACTTCAGCAATACCAAAAGGCCTACTTGCTTCAAAGTGGTCTTCTAGCCACGCAGCAACAGGAAAAAGGACATGTCCAGGCAGTTTCATTCTATAAGCACTTTATCAAACCAGGAAAAATCACTCAAAACAAGAAGAAAAGCTTTGGAAAATGAAGACATGAACTTCAAGAAAACTTTAATCAGTCCTGGGCAAACTGCCCAGGAGTTGTACAACCTCAGTAAATGCTTGGAATAAATGATGGCTTCAAGCACCAACAGAGAACAGAATTACCTTTGCCTTGCCACAGATCTTTGGATGGAATTAGGCAATTCGCTTATTCCCGCTTCGGTTTTGTGAAACTGGGCTTCTAACATCTCTCTACCTTAAGTTAGGCAAAACTTACGTATTCAGCTACAGACAGTGCCTTGGACAGATTTAGACTGTCTATGAAGTCCTCGGTAGATAGGTATTTGATCTCTTCCAGTGCTACTGAAATTCCAGCATTTAGTTTTCTCTAAAACAATCTCTCACAGCCTCTCCAAGAGAACATTCTTTGAAATACCAGAGCTGCTGGAAAATTATGCTGAGATATCCCTGACTCAGTGTAGTGCAGAAGTTACGGTAGTTCACCATGCTGAAAACAACTTCGGCTTAGGTCCTTCACACAAGAGACTTTTTGGTTATGAAAGCGTACACATCTCCATAGTGCAGTTGCCCAGTAAATTGGGTCAAGGTCCGTAGAACACAATGTCAAACAAATAGCTCTTAGCAGTGCAAAAAAACTTGACAGATACATAAGTTTGTATACTGGATATTTTATTAGTACCAGTTATTGGAGGATATTGGACGCTTTACTAGATAATATTTGTTAGAGAGAACATAATCAGAGGAGGAAACGTGACTGAGTTTCAGATCAACAAGTATAGCAAAAAAGCAATCCTTTTACTGTATGTCTTTATGTTATGTAATACTAGAAGGTACCTGGTGTAATGCCTTTTTCTGTGAATTTATCTATGACGTGTTTCTGGAGCTCTCTTCAGTTTACCAAATGGGCTGTGTCGTATCTCTCAGTAGAGTGGAAACAAAGCAGCTGCCGAAGTATTTACAATCTCTCCCTATTAGGTTTCATGTTAATTCTCCAGCAGCTCAATCCTTGTTCTTTTAGAAAAAAATACATTTTCATTTCTTACCTTAAACATTTGCTTGACTTTTTGTCGGGGTAGGTTCACATTCAGTTTGTGCATTAGCTGGAGCACTTCACTAATACTCAGACTGCCATCACCATTTTTATCTGCCTCATCAAATGTCTGCTTCAACCACATTGAACAGGAGTTAAGGAACAGCATGGAATATCAAGGGATGTTACTGAACATTATGTTTATATGATTTTTTTCATGTCAGGAAAGACTGTATATGAGGCTGGGGATGAAAGTTCGAGGTAATATATAATATAACTCTACTCATGTTATTTCAGTAACAGCTTCTAGACTTGCTATGCTCAACATGTAACACATACTGTTTACCCACACTACAGCACAGAAGAACTAACTTCTGAGCCAATTGCAATGTTGCACCATGCTTTGTCCTGTATATAACCAAGTGAAATGGATAGCTTTACACAGGGAGTAACAGATGAAGGAACGTACCTGTATGTTTTTCAGTCCACTCCAGTCATTCATCTCCAAATCTTGCCCAGAACAATCCTCTTCAAGAACTCCTCTCTGTCTCTGGAAACTGGGAATGCAATGGGAACCACTCTGAAGCCTTTGAGCCTAGTGCTTACTTTTAGCAAACCAAATACTTAAAAGAATCCCTACGCTATTGATAGCTCTCCACCACTGGGGAAAACTCTCAGATAGTATAAGAAGGATATTGGTCTCTGGTCCTTTGGCGTTTTGAGAGGCTGTCTTCATCACTGATCCCTGCCATCAGATATTTTAGCCCTGTGATCCAGGTGCGTGCTTCCTCTCCACTGGAAGACACCAGGTCAAGAGATTCCATATGGTCTCCATAGTAGATGCTGAAGCAGCAGTTGGGATCGAAACTGCCATCGGCATAGCGCTGAAAGATCTCTGATTGCTTCCCCTCGCAAACCTCCTGAAGAGAGTCGATAGAAACTAGAATGACAAAAGCACGTGGTTCATTAATGACTGTGTGCATTAATGAGTGCCCTAGGCCAGACAGGATGCATTTATCCTGTAGAGAAAGGGCCCAAACCTCACACTGCAAGGTCCCCAGTTCACACAGGTTTCGTCTGCAACTCATTTACAACATACTACAGTACTGCCACCCGCATAGCTAACAACAGCAACTTCATCTTCATAAACTATTAATAATAACATCATTTACTGCCCTTTAAATTCAAGTACAACATTCTTCTTGATCACCCGTGAATGTACCAAATCCTTCATGCTCGTTTGTTTATAAGAGGGCAAGATCCCAGGAGGAATCGAAGAAAGGGCTGACACTCACTTTTGGCTTTCTCATTCTTTCGAGAGGGTCTCCAGCGGATACATGACTTGTGCTCATCCAAGTAATAGAAGCGGACCAACCCTTTGGAACTGCCACGGAGTTTGATCATTTGGGTCCCAGCTTGCATGGAACTCATACATCTTTCCACTAAAGAGAGAAATAAAGCGATATCAGTAAGTCTGACTTTGCTCCCTTTAAAGCCGCCTTTACAGCAAGAAAACATATCAAGCAGCTGCCCAATTAACAGTTCAAGTCAAAGGGTAAGATTGTGTGCACTGTCTGATATAAGAGGTCAGGTTATAAGATCAAAAAGTCAGAAAGATTCATGGCAACTGTGGACTTATCTGTAAATGTGAAAGTTTTCATTCCCGTATTAATAGGTATGAAACATACATATGTTGGAACTAGCACAAGGTACATATCCTTCTTAAGACCATCCCAAATGCTTAATCTGAGCTCCTACAAGACATAAAACTTGTGCTAGACACAGTATGAAATTTCACCTGGAAGCTTGTATCCTTGGCCAGCAAAAACTAGCGCAGTTCCATCCATGTCAGGAGAGTTATTTTCATTATGCCTCACGTTTTTGTCTCTTAAACATGCAGTAACAAGTTTTTTTTCACATTCCTCTCTGTAAATTCTGGAGTTCCTGTCAGCAGTATCACCATTTAGAAGTACCACGGCTTCTTAGGAAGCAGTTTAGTTCACGCTCTGTCTACCCAGAATCCAATTAAAAAGACATTTAATTACCAACTTCATCATCAAAAGTATTCTAGGAACCCTAAAAATAATTCAAAGGCTTTTGTATACAAATAACTTAAGAGTTAAACCATTTTCACTGCCTTAAAAATTACAGCCAGAAGGTGATTAGAGTCCAGCGTGTGACTGCAAAGATGAAGCCGGCTTCGAAGGCTACATTCTTACAAAGAGGTCTACAGTAGGGCCAACAACAGAGTGATTTTATCCTACACCAGTCAGGGAAATGTACAGCCAAACAAAAATCCTAACAAGTAGAAGGTGGCATTATTTTGATTTGCCTTCTCTAATATAAATAGTATTTTGCTGTGCTTAAAAAGATTCCAAAATTTTCTTCTTGGGAAGAAGCTGAAAGAACAATACTGAGCAGATACTATTTGCACTGATCGATGTTTTGGGTAAGGCACTGGGATACTACAAGGACAAGTATGAATAAAAAACTACCAGTATTTTTTTTCTGTCCTATAACATATACTATGAGTAAACCCCCACATTTGCATTGAAGTGGATCTGAAATATCAGTTAAATATAGTTCTTTATGACTGAGTTAGAAATAGCGAGGTAGAGTAAAAAGAAATGGAAAAAATCATTGACGTTCCTGTGCTTTAGAGCTCATATTCATACAAATTCAATTCATTTACTCAGGAAAAGAAGGTCCAACAAAATAGATTAATTTGAAAGCATATCACTAATAATAAAAGACAATTTAAATTTAACCCCACAATTCTGTACAGTACATTGTTTATGTTAATAAAATATTTACGGAGAAACAATATTAAATTAAGAACAAGATAATCCCTCATGTAACATTTTATTTCTTAAAGCTGATCCCTTGGCTTCAATCACAGATGCCCTTAGACGAAATCAATGTCATCAGCAGGTATTAGTCATAAAAGCAAATGCTGTGCTACAGCTCAGAAGCATTACCAGAATTCACTACAACATCAGATCCAAAGTGGATTCACACGCGGCCCAGCCGTTTCCCAGACACTACAATCTTTTCAATATCTGCTTTCATTCCAATTCAGAACAAAGAGAAACACGTCTCAAATTTACTGTGAGATAGTAATTATGGAAAGCTTGAACTTATTTTAATTTCACCAGGTTTATAGTTTTTTGGAAAAAAAAAATTATCAAAATAGCTAATAAAATTTCTGTTAGCGCTAAGACTTTCTATTAGCACACAGACTTCAAACCACATTACGTTTCCAACTTCCTCTTTGGAAGTTATTGTAGTAAATAATTTTATTTGAAGAAACGAGAAGAGCAGAAATGAGAGAAGTATTAAAGACTGCACCTGTTACAAAGCAGAAAATAATAAAGCAGCACCAAAATAAAAGTGCACTTTATGCAATACACATTTACTTTGCTTTTACGTGAAGTTAGAATATACTCCTTCGCCGTCAAAAATTTAATAAGCATCCTTGGATAGCTTTTTCAATGCAGCTCTTTATTTCTGTTGCAGGATTGCTCACCCCAGCCTAGCCAGAGTATACAGTACCTCGGCAGCCACTCTGCTGCCAGTTCCAGCTGATCTGGACACTGGACTGTTCTTTGGGGATTCAACGCACAATTGCAAGTGATTCTGTTTCCAGACGCAAACCTGAGCTCAGTTCTGTTCGGAGCACCTGGCAACTGAACGGTCAAACCACACCGAATACTTCTCTTAAGCATCTGTTACTATCTTTCTGGTTTTGGTGACACGAGGAAAGGAAAGCACAAGAAACGTCTTCCCTTCTTGTGTCAGGAAAACAACAACAGCTTTTCTGCATTCTACCAACATGATGGGAAGGAAAACCTGTAAGGTAATGCAGAGACGTTTGCTAGGGGTAGCTGGACAAAGACCAGGAGATTGAGACAGAGAGCGGAAACGGCGCACCTCCACATCCCGCACCTGTATGGGCACTGAAACACACACCCCTACCTGACTGGAGGTTTAGGCCACTAGAGACTGGCAGAAAAATGTGCAGTGGGAAAAAAAGTCATAGTGGTACTTATACCAAAGAAAAAATAAACCTTTTTTTCTGAAGTCTTTCACAGCAGCTGAATGAGAACAGCACACTGATGAGAGGACAAGCATAACTGCTTCCTACCATTGTTCAGATACCTTCTTTAAGGACGCATTTCTATACTTCAAATAAAAATCCCTCAGCCTTGCAATGAATCATTTTTCTGAAGAAATGGTTCCTAACTATCTTCAATTAAGGCTGAAGTTTTCTTCTCAGTTAAATAATATTTTGCACTTCAATAGTACCTTTTTGCAGAATTCAGTTGAGGTTCAGCTCTCTTTTGCTCTAATGAGTTGCCTCAATTTGCATCTGGACAAAATACAGTCATGGAGAGAAGATGGATCTCCGTACTGCGGCAAAAAGCAATGTAATAGCAGAGCAGGAAACAGAAACATAGAACACTTAGTTCCATTCCTGTGTTCTTACAAAGTGACACTAGACTGACGCAGCAAAAAGACTCAAAGTGATTTTTCATAGTTCATAGTAATGTTTATAGTTACTACAAAAAGCTTTAAAGTAACAATAAATAACAAAATTACACAAATCCTAAATCCCTACAACTCATCCTGATACAAGGGGAAAAAAAAAAAAAAAGAGCCCAATTTCATGCTTACTGTTAGCAAGATGTTCTAATGTCTGTTAATTATTTATGGTTCAGTAGCATTATTGTCTTTTAGGAGTTTCTGGGTTTGATGTAAATGTGCGAAGGAGTGGGAGTATTTCAGCATGTGAGGATGAAAAGAAGTTAGAAGGATTGAGTCACTGAGTATTTTTATACATGGACGAGCTTTGTCAAAAGATTCATGTCCGAAGTTCGGCGTGGCTGCAGGCTATGTCACAGCGCTTTGGCGCTAGGCAGTCTCTTCTGTCGGAAGGGCAGCGTCGCACATCTCTGCTGAGTTCTGCCCTCTCAACACATTCTGACAGGATGCATCCTGACTGCATGCTTCAAACAACCGCGCTTCTAAATACTATAAGGAGAAGAAAATAGATTTCAGAGGCTTATTTCTCTTCAGGGCCTCCAGAAGATGCAACATGTTTGTGAGCCTAGAGAAACTCCTCCGGTACACATGCACTGTAAGGGCAAGCTGTTCCCTTAAAATATTACCAAACCAAAACAGCTTTCCCACATGCAAACAGAGGACTCCCACACTTGTCATACATTCAGCACTGCAAATCCATTGAGGAGATAATAATGGCTATGTTTTTTAAAAGTCTCACTGGAAATGGTTTTGCAGCTATAACTGGTTCATCAATAGGTAAACCAAAGAACTGGTTGGCTCCAGCTGTTCCTGCCAGGAATATCGGGTTTAGTTTAGACAGGAGGCATCAAATCTTTTTAAAAATCAATATATAAATATCATAATATAGAGACATATTAAATAGGTAACGTGTATAAAATATCCAGTACGCTGTGGTGGGAATTCTGTCCAGCTGAAAAGTCTTGGAATTAGAAGATATTTTAGAAATTCTGCATATGAACTGCACAATCGATTTCTGTGAGCTTGAGGAATCTCCATGACAGTTCATCATGCCGCTCTCCTAAGAAAAGCTCCCAGAATGTCACTTCTGACCCTGAAGAAATTCACTCAAGTAATGGTCTTATCATAGAAGCTTGAACATTAACTGTTGGCTACAGCAACCTGGCTTTGTTCCTTATACAGGCACCTACGCTAATGGAATACATTAGTAGTAATTCCTACTTGACACATTGCCTTATGAATCAAATGAATTGCAATTAAAACCAGCTTCTCTTACGTAGAGAATTTAGCATCCTGTGGTTCACAATGGAGCAAACCATCTTTATTTATTTATTGTTGTCCTTCAACTTGACTAATTTATTTATTTTATATTTATTTATTCTTTAT